TTTTATGTTCTTATGTGAACAAGCTTTTCTTTTGTAACGTGCTCACCATTTTCTCCTATGATGGCCTCCTTTTCTCAAGAGCCACATATGGACTGCTTTTTTCCTTTTTTAAATGTGACTCAGTGTTTACCTAGAAATTTTGCCTTTAAATTTTGCTCAGTACAGTAAGTTGAATGGAAATACAGGTGGTTTGATTTGTTTCCCTGTTTTTTGCAGTATAGGTGTATGTTTCCCAGTCTGTCCTTTTCAGACACATGCTGAACTCTACCTACATCCTTCTCATGGATTGTGTCAATTCAGACTAAATGTTCTTCTCTATCTGTTGGCCTTTCCATAGTTAGTAGTTTAAGTTCTACTCTATAATGTAAATTATAATTTCCAGCTACTGATTCTGTTTCAGTTAAGGTGTAACTTCTTCTGTATGGTTTCCCCTTGGCCATGAAGGTTTCCTTGATGTCTTGTACTTATTTACATTACCCTCGCTATCTACAGCATCATCTTATCTATACATGGATTTTTCCATGTGTCTGCCTGTGCCTTGGTCATTGCACAATGAGCTGACATATATCCTGGACCTCAGTCCTTTGAATAGCAAGTTGAATTCAACCTCCAGAAAGTCCTCCCTATAGCTGCCTTCAGCAGTGTGTCCATGCACAATTCATCTAAATTTCATAAATATTCTCACTTGAAGTAGTGTAATGCTTCAGGAAGTTACTAATGCAACTTTTGACAAGCATTGGAATACGCTGCCCAGGGAAGTGGTGGAGTCACCGTCCCTGATGGTATTTAAAAGACAGGTAGATGAGATGCTTAGGGACATGGTTTAGTGGTAGACTCGGCAGTGTTGGGTTTATGGTTGGACTCTGTAATTTTAAAGGTCTTTTCCAACCAAAACAATTCTGTGCTGCTCTGATTCTAATTAGCATAAGAGTGGCTGGCTATAGGCAGCCACAGTAAAGAGAATTGTGAACAGATGAGTGTTACTGGGTTTTTTAAACAATTTTAACAAAACATTTTTAAAAAAGATTTGGATAATTACATGAGGTGACTTATAAGGAAAACAGTAATTCCGTGCTTTCTGAATGACACGTTGATTTAGTACTCTGAGACAAATGTTTTCTGCTTTAAAAAGAAAGAAGGAATCTCTCTAAATGAACTTCTAAATGAAGCAGCATTGTTGGCCTGATGCTATCACTTAAAAAGTAATTTTTTCCTCCAAAATAAATATATTTTTTTTAATGTTTAAAGTATCCATGTTCATTTGTGAGGTTAATATAGTGATATATGAGATACCACTAAAGATAGCTGATAGTAAAATGTCAAGATAA